TTCTTGTAGAGACTGGAAGGGATTTGTGTAGAGTGCAAACTGAATAGAATGAGTTCCAAAAATGTCTGGCAATGTAAAATGCTGCTTGGGTGTGAATTAAGATGTTCAGCAGCTGCACAGTTTCTTGAAACCTCAATCCTTTTTAGCCATCCATAATGCCATCAATGCGGAAGTGCTTCTTAGAGTTTCTAGAGTACAAGAAAGTAGGATAAGTGGCTAGATGAAGCACCAGTTCTGATGGGTTGTAAAAGGTGTGAGGCTGCAGTTTAAGAATTTACATACTCCGGCTGTGGTTGTGATTGACTTGCAGAAAGTGTGTTCAGCTTGCAAGCTTTATGGGATATTGTTACAATGCCTCTATTTGGGCACTTAGCTTATCCCAGTTGTGTAGTGAGATTCATTATTGCTGAATCCCTTCACTGAGGCTTAAGGCCAAGCATTTTGTCTTGTGTTTTGCTGTAGGGTGGGAACAAGCACGTAGTAAGCTTAGGAGTCTTAGCTGATGGGCAGCAACTTGTTAAGTCAGGATAACTCGGTTTTGTTTGTATGTCTGTATTTTGAGGCATTTCATTTGGAATGTGTGCCACCTAAATGATAACTCTCTTAAGAGTGAGGCTTTTTAATTGAGAAATTGTGATTGTGAGATAAATTTGTCATAGGAAAGAAGACAGAAGGTACTAAAAAAACCCCATGCATGAATGAGGGCTGGGAAGTTCCAGAATTTTGTGTTTTTTCCAAAGTATGTGCATCCACCCTAAAATTGTACTAAATCAGGTTGTCGGGAGGAACTGTCATCCTGAGTATCTTGCTATGCAAATAGGCTCTGCCACGTTAGATGTTACTGTCTCGAACTTTCTTAGGGTATAGATACATGTCTTCTGATCTCATGGGCCACAGCATAAGTTTCTGCCTCTTTCTTCTGTCTTCACTAGAGTTTAATGGTGTGGCCGTTTTCTCTGGACTTCACAGGTTCATGTGCTGGCTTCTAATCTGTTTGGGTCAAAATAAGCTTTTTTTTAGCAGAGACCAGCTACTTTGCACTTTAAGCTCACCTGCTGTTCTTTGGGAATGAAAAGCAGCAGGACCGGTTGGTCCAGCTGATGAGGAATCATGCATTTACCACTCAGTTCTATCATGTGCTGCTTTGAGCTGTCCTTGAGAGAAACTTGAGTCTTTTCGGCTTTATTTGAGGGATGTGGTCAAGTTCATTCCCAGGTGATTACAGTTCTCATTGCAAAAATTCCTTTTCCACTTTAATCTGATTACTGTGATGTTTGGTGTATAATGTTAAAGGTCTACCATATTCCATTTTGGAGAGTTCCATGTTGCAGAAGAAGAACAAAGAAAGCTGGTACTGAATGAAAGAATAGGTCTTGTTCAAGTGTAGGATTTACATCTGGTTTTATAGTGTGATATTCCAATTCAGGAGTCTGTTTCATAGGGCCAAAGAATACCCAAATGTTTTATGATAACCTAAGAAATTTTTCCCCAGGCACTGCTAAATGGTTGTTATATGTTGGTAAAGTTCATAGTAATAGGTAAGTGTGAAATCTCCCTTTCCTGGCTCTTGGTATTGGTACTTCAAAGGACTGTATAGCTGTCTGTTTGCTGTGTCTGCAATGTCACGGGCATCCACTGAGAAAGCCAACAAATGGACCAACTTGTTATTTGTCAAGGTACTTCTGCATGATCTGAACATCTGCCTTCTGCGTGTTTGTGAGGTTGGTTCATTGTCCACAGGCAACCATGAATGTAACTCACTACTACTGTTCTGGGACCAGGATGGTACTATTACTGCAAAGGAAAGAGAGTTCATCTCCATTTAAAAAAAAAAAAAAAAAAGTTTGATTACCTCTTAACCACTCTTCAAGTAACATCTCTGTAAGATACCTTTTTTTCCTTTCTCCCTCTTTGCATTTATGAACTGGTTCTTTGGAAAAGAAATTAATTGTATGCGTTAATATCTTCTGTGTTACTGCTTTCAGCACATCATAGTGAATAAATATTATTTTATCAGCCCACTCAGCAATAATGACCATTAACCTGATTGTTAACTGCTGGGTCTCAGATGGAATGCTGAATACAAGCTTGTTCCAAAATGGCAGAATCTGGCTCTCCTTTTTACTGTAATAAAGCTGCTTCTGTTTGCAGCACTGTGTTGCTGGGAGACTGCAACTAATTTTTATGGCGCATGTCAGTAGTAGTGATTCAAATTATACATTTTATTGAGTAGCTCTTCTCTTTGTTTGTAAACTGACTTCTATGAGGGGAGAGAATTTTTTTTTGTTCTGGGGAGAACAGTATCCAGACCAGAGAAAATGATTGAATCTGGAACAAAAGCATAGATTGTTCTGTTGATAACATCATTGTACTTCCAGAGTCACTCCAGGGGGGATGGTGGCCTGGCTGAATTTACACCAGTCTAGTAGTCAAGTCTAATGCAGGTATTGAGGAGAATTCCAGGTGAGGCATATAGATCTCCTCAAACTGCTGTTTTTCTTTTCCAGACTTCATGGTGCAAAACTTCAGCATGTGGTGTGACTTTAAAGCAAAACAACAAAATAGACTGAGAGATTATGAATTAGAAAACTATGTAGTTTAGGTTTACAACAAAGATACAGTGGCAGTTTTGGGGGTCTGTAGAAAATGCAGTCCTTTTTAAAATGATGGTTACACAGCTTGCATGTGGATCAGGACATGCATGCAATTACAGTGGCAAAAAAATGGGTGTAATTGGGCATGCACCTAAATGAGAAAATACATGTGTAAGGTGGAATCTGACTAATAAGTTAAATCTTTCACTTGCTGAATCTGTACTCCTTTTCTGGCTAAAGGAGATGGTAGTCCATTTCCTGATGTTCATGTTCTGCTTACGTTTTTAGCAGTGTCTTGTTTTTAATCTTGCTTGAGGTGCCTTTATAAAATGGTGTGTGTGTGTCTGAAGCCTGCTTGCTTAAACACGCAAGTCATGTCAGCTGCAATGCGGCAGCGCTTGGTGCTAATGAGGTGAGCAGCCAGAGCACCCGTCTGCTTATGTTTTCTCATCTGTGCAATTATGGCAATGGGGATTGGAAAAAGGGATTTGTATTGGATATGGCTCTGTTTTGGCCTTTCCAGAGTGCGGTTCTGTGTCCTGAGGACTGGGTAGCATATTTCTACTTCTATTTTGGGAGTTAGGTGGTTGCTTCACTATGTTTAAGGCAAGCTCTAAAATACATCCTGGTTGGGAGAAGAAAAGGGCAAGTACAGAGAGGGGGACACCCTCTCCTCTCCCCGCCCCC